ATTTTGCAAAAAATTTACCCCAACTTCCAAATAAGCCAGCCAGCACAGTCTAGGAAGTTGCTCAGAAATGTCAACTTTATAGCTAGTACTAAATGCAAAAAAGAAACTAACAGGTATTAATGAAAAGAAATTTTCCCAGTGCACTGTCCTAAAAGAATTGTATCAAGTGAATAACTGCTTTTCCTTTACTATAGGTAGTAATAATTACCATTTTTAAGTAAAATTTAAACATTAGCTTTCTCTCTTATGCCTTTTAATGATTTAGTGACTTTATATGTAGTAATAGTAATATCTCACTTATTGTAAGCACTTCACTGGCAGCATGTTGTTATTTAATAATCACAACAATCCTATTAGCTGCAGGTGTTTATCTTCATTTTACACATGAGGAGATTGAGTTTTTGAGAGATTGAGTAACTTGCTTGAGAACACAGGTTTGGTAAGTAGAGGAGCCAGAATGTGGACCACTCTCTCTGATCTTATTTCTTCAACTATAAATAATAGTGCTCAAATAAATGCAGTGGTTTTTCTTATACTCTCTCATTTTCAACTTCTTGAGTTGAAATCTTAGCTCTAAGTGTCATTAACTGCACGCCACATCGTCTGATATACTCTGCCTTTTTTGGTGTTTTGTTCCAAGTATTTTTAAATTTCTTTTTAATTTTTTTTTGACTAAGAATATTTAAATACTGTTTTTTGAGAGCCCTGAATTTTTAAGAATAGATTTTTCAGATCCTTCTAGAGATTTAAGAACAAAACATAACTCTTTTGAAGAAAAAATTTGATCATTTCTTTTCAGAGTATAAATTAACTATGAACCTTTAGCTTTCAATAGTTTGCTTTGGTTTCTCCTATAATGGCCTGAATAGTACCTGAAATTTTATGAATTTTTGCCATGTAGATTTTGGCGTGAGATTCTCTTTGTTGATTGCTCATTGTTTAATCTTGCTGCCTCTCGTACTAGTCTTCCGCTTTGTCACTGTACATAGTGGCCCTGGGACAACCCCAGAAGCCCACCTGGTCACTCACTGGCTTGAAATAATATTCAAGCGTGCCTCAGCCTATGAATGGCTCATGGGTTCTAGATAAACTGTACCTGTTTTTCAGATGAGCAGGCTGAGACTAGAGAAGTTAAGTAACTGGCTTGATTTCATCTGCAGACGGCAGAACTGATTTAAACCTAGGTTCTTAACACAGGAATTGAGCCACGTTGGATGCAGCAGTTTCTAAGCTCAGTCAATTATAAAGTAACTTCGAGCTCTACCCCTGAGTCCTTTGAGTGAGTCTGTGTAGTCTTTTTTTAGGTTTTGTCAAAGGAAAAGGAATTTGTACATTCTTCTGCCAGTTCTTGTTTATATTGAAGTATGTGGTAAGTGCTTTCCTTCTTTTTATTTCAGAATAACCTCTACTTCTCTTACCACTATGACTTGACTTCTTCCCGCCAGTCCCCATTCTTGAATTACAGAATGACCAAATCATGCTGTTCCCAGCCATGTAGGTCTCTCTGTTCTCTCACTCTGTAACAGTGTGGTCCCCAGGAAAGGGGGAGGTACCAAATTTCCTGCCCCACCCAAAGGAGGGTAGAGCTGAGCAGGGAGAGAAGCTGCAGAGGAGACTGAGGAAGGAAGGAAGCAGGATGGAGAGCCAGAAGGAGATCTGGAGGAGGCACATGGAGCCAAGAGACGCATGAAGAAACTGTTTGCCTTTTGGTCGTGGACTGGGTGACACAGATGTGGGTGAGAGACCCTTGGGGAGGTGCGGGTTTTGTCTTGATTTTGCTCTTGCTCTTCTCCTCCCAGACTTGTCTGGTTGTTTCTGATCCTTTTCTGTGGGTCTCCACTGGAAGATGCTTTAGACTTGGGGCAGCTTTCGGGCCTTGCTCTGGGCCAGACCTGTTTGGATGGACTTTTACCCATGAGGGGATGGGTAACTGTGGGTGCTTCATTTAGAAACTAGATTCTTTGCCTTTCCTGTATTGTTTCCTAATTGTATTAAAGCCTTCCCATTAAAGTCTCATATGTTTTGTGTTGATGCAACGGATGGTAGAACCCATTTAGAGTAGGCAGATTTGTGGGGTTTGGGCTGCCCCTGCCCTGTAACAACTTTTCTAGATTTCCTCTTTGCTAAAGCTACTGGGGTTTTATCTCCAGGACTATTTCTCCTTCCACATCTTTTCCTTTCTTTAATCCCACCTCTTTTTGAACCCTGTCTCTTTTTGAACCCTTAATTGCTGTTGTCCCCTCAAACAGTCCTCTCATTTTCTCTCCAAATTATCTTTTTTTACTCTCTGATTTAGAGGAAAGTGCCTTAGGGCAGGGATTGCCTTGTTCTGTTGGGAATCAGCATCTAAAGTGCCCCATAAATTAGCATCTGTGGAGAGTTTTGTACTACTAATTATTATTATTGAAATACAGAAATGCTTTCTGAACCATGAGGAAGCATTCAACAATATTAGTTTAATTGGCCTGTACATGTTATTAAAAAAAAGAGAGAGAGAGAAAAAAAAGCCTCTCTTCCTGCCTGAGAGCTATCAGATCTCAGAACAGCAGCCAAGATCCCAGGATTCCTTCTGGACTATTATTTCAGTGCTTTAATATTTATTCAGAGAACCATCTTGGCACGATAATAAAATAAGGCCCTGATGGTCATGTGGATCTGTTTGGACTATTTGCACTGGTCAGAAGGGCAGGCAGGATCCCGGACTCCTGTGTTTGGATTGTTTTGACCCCAAATCTGTTAATTTCTTGATGACTTTTTATGGATAAAATCAATGGTGTTTATTTCTCAGGGGGTTGAAAGTAAATTTCATCTATTTTATATTTATGTAGATGTTTACTGCCAGAGTGAATCAACATTTTTATTAGCTTTTTATGATGCAAATGGAGAAGCTTTTAAGACTTGTTGAATTTTAATGTAGACATGTATGTATGTCAGAAGGATTCATTTACAGAACTATCGATTCTTTCTAATGCTTTCTTTGAGAATCTACTTAAAAGAATAGTGAGACAGTTCCTGTTGGCCTACTTTTACTGAGTATAAAATTTAGTAAATATATTTTGATTAACAACTTAATGAATGTCCTTTTATGAAAGAAACGCTAGTCAGAATAAACTGAAACTATGTTAGAATTATCAGTCGAGGTAATCTGTGAATCTTAAATAGGAAATGGAATGGTAGTGCTTTTTCAAAGAAAACTTATCATTCATTCTGAGTGTCTAGTCTGAGGAGACCATTAAAGGACAGGACTTGATTACATTGTCCAATTTTATATGGCTATAATTGATGTAGCAGATATGTTCCAGATAGAATCATGGTGCATAGGGCTGGTTGCCTTTTATTCTCACCCATATGTTTTCCTTTCTGTGGTATACCTCCCCACCTTAAGATGGTTTCTTTAGGACAAGTTGCTCTTACTTATCTTCAGGCCTTTGATGATAACTGTAAAGCAAGTTGAATCAGGCCTGCTCACTTTTAAATGTTTAATTGAATTTGGAGACTAGATTGTTTCCTTTTGTAGTGTACTTGGTAGCATCTTACTGCTCTAGAAACAACCGAACACTTTTAAAGATAAAACCCAGGTACATACCAGCAGTGTGCTGAGTAGAGGCTTCAAGCTGCACAAGAGCTAAAGGATCATCTCTCTGTTTTAATGATCCTCAGCTCTGTCTGCTTACCAGGGGGCTTTGGGGAACTTGTTAAAAACTTCCATTCAATGCTGTTGCTATACTCTGTGTTCATTTGGGGAAACTGAGAGAAAGGGAAATTGATTGTATATGGCCATGTGTGCTTAGATATTATGAAAAGTCATAGTACTGGGTGGCAATGACATTATCCCAGACCTACTTAAAATGCTTTCTTATTTTGGAGTGAACAGTTGTTAAATTAGGTCATGGGCAGTACAGAAAACAAAGTGGGACTACTACTGTCATTAATTTAGAAATATCTGCCCTCTAATAAAACTGATTGTCACAAAGTCATCTTCAATGCCTTCCATATTTATTCATACTTAGGAGAAATTGTACTGTAATTGTGATAGAACCATTTTGTCAATCTGATGTCATAGTAGGTGAACCCCCTAGCTACTTGTCCCATATTTTAGTTTGCTATGGGACAAGCTTTTCAATTGAAATTTAAATTATATTTATAGACAGAATGGATCAGCTAAACCCTTTTAATTGGGCACTTGTTAAATCAGTTTTCCACAATGACTTCATTTTCAGACATGGATACTTTAACATTTTTAGGTAAGGGTACAGAGAATAGCAGTCATCATTCCTTTTGTAATTGTTGGAGGCAGAGGTGCAAAAAGAGGCACAAATATGATCAGCATTTATTTAGAAACTATAGTGAGGTGGCACTTTTATTAGATGCTCGAAATAATAAAGGCTCAGTGTGTGCCTTTGAGATCTTGTTAAATCTTTAACTTTGAGGGCAGGGAGAGAGTGAGTTTTTTAGAACCTCTTGAGACTGATTTGTATTTTTGGTTTTTGTAAGTATGAAATCTAATAAATACACACTGGTTACCATTTTAACAAATATTCTTTTATGAGAAGGCAAACAACTATGTCAAAATGTATTTCAGTATGTGCTAGTTTACAAGCTTATGTGTGCTTACATTTTGATATACATTGTGTACATATTGTCCATGGATATATAGAGTATATGAGTTGAAGTGTGATATCCAATTGAGTAGCATAGACACAGTAGTGACATTAAATGAAACAGTTGATGTAACATGCTTAAGCACAATGGCTGACACATAGTTACTGCTAAATGATTATCACTATTAACATATTATACCACCACTATAGGAAATCAGAGGGAAAAGAGCACAATGAGTTAGGGAACTCAGGGTATGAGAGAAGTATAAATTAAGTAATATATATTGTACCTATTTAAAAAAAATACCTTCAGCCTAAAACTTGAATTGCTAATAGCAAACATGTTGGAAAGCATTATATAATACAAATACAAATTAACTATGTGGTCTCTTGTTTCAGGAACTTTATATTGCCGTGGGAATATCTGGAGCCATCCAACATTTAGCTGGGATGAAGGACAGCAAGGTAAGAATACAACAATAATGAGGCTTAGGGGAAAAGTTCTCATATTTTAAAATACAGCTTTCACTCTTTCCATGTAGTTACAGTATATATATTAAACCATTCACATCACAGATCTAGGAACTAAAAGAAACAGAAGCCGTTGTTCACTGCCTGAAGATACGTCATGAGTGGGAGTGGCACTGCTGTGTTATGGTGAGAGGCCTGAGCCTGAGCCCTGACTCCCCTGCTCGCTCACCATAGGACATGCGCCTCAATCCTTTCTCAGAGAAATCCTTTCAAAACTGATAATCCAAGTGTAGAAAATGTGAAGCAGACCTGCCATGAGGTTCTGATCCCTGATTCTCTGTCTGCTCATTTTCCTTCCGTATCATTGCACCCTTAGCAAGACCCCTCTTCTTGGGTGTGACTGACATGTTTTGGGTGTCACTACCTCAGTAATTGTCAAAAATGCAGTAGATAGAAGGAACATTTGATTTTAACTTATTACTTGGACTCTATCTGGAAGTCCTGTGTAATGACTCTGAACATTTATTTCAGAATATGACACATTAATTCATGTGTACAGTTTGAATTATGGACTTAGTCTTTCATGAAGTCAGAGATGCCTTTGACACTCCTGCTTTTTTAATGGCATTATGGTATCCTTGAGAGAATTTGACTTTGATTATTGTATCAAATGAGTCCATGTAATGAAAGCACCTTTTTGAACTTTGTATATATTAGTGTTGTTGAATACAGATCTGTTCTTTAAAAGCTCTGTAAGGAAGGAAAGCATAAATTTGTAAAACCATATAAAGAGAGCTTTAGGATGCAAGCAAGATTTTACCATAGTTATTTCCGGTTGATAAATCAGGAATATTCTTTCAGTAATCTGGAAATTTGTAACCAGCCCAAATCTTCTTAAATGCTTTGTGGTTTGTTGCCCACTGTTTTTTTTTATTACTATTTTTTAAAGATTTATTTATGCGTACAAGAACCAGGGTACAGGCCAGAGGTGGGGGTGGGGGTGAGAGGATTCACCAGAGACAGAGTGGGGAGCAGAACAGGCAGATCCATTGAAATACACTGTTGAGGGGAGCAGCGGGTAAGTCAGGAGAGGTCTCCTGCGCCATGTGGGTCACCTCCCTGGCCAGGGATTGAACTCATGCTGCAGTGGCTACCAATAACTTCATAGTGCTGCGTCTTAACCCCTTGTGCTACCAGCGAGGCCCCTTCTTGCCTACAGTATTTACTCTTTCTTTAAAAATAAGTTGTATATAGGGCCTCCCTGGTGGCGTAAGGGGTTAAGCATAGCACTATGAAGCAATCCGCAGCCTCTGCAGCACAAGCTTGATCCCCAGACGGCCAGGGAACAACCCACATGGCGAAGCAGACCTCTCCTGTCTCGCTCGCTGCTCCCCTCAGCAGTGTATTTCAGTGGATCTGCTTGTTCTACTCCCCACTCTGTCTCTGGTGAATCCTCTCACCCCCTGCACCTCTGGCCTGTACCCAGTTCTTGTATGCATAAATAAATAAATCTTTTAAAAAAAAAATAAGTTGTATGTAGTGGGCTAGAAAAGCTTTCAGGTGATTAAACTGTCAGATGTTTGACTAGGTGACCTATGGGAAAATCATTAACTGTCATTAATTAAATCCCCACTAGTAGCAGCAATTCAGGCTACCTGGTCCCAGAAGAGAAACACCTTGGTGCAGATCTTTACCTATAATTTAAAATGTTTATCCTTGTGACTGGTGCTCATATTGAAACCATTGCTTATTGTCTCTGACCACACATGCTAATATAGATAACATGTTTCTCTGGATTGGTATTTACGTGGACTGCATGCATACATTGCTACAATCTTAAGTATTCTGGAATATTCTGCCCATTTCTTTGAAGATAGAGCCTCTCTAATGGAATTACATATACGTTGGGTAGCCTGTTTTAAGTAAGATTATATAAAAAATGTTTTCAAATATTTTAGCTCTTTTCATGAAATAGAGTAATAGGTAGAAACTTAATGGTACTTGCAGTGATTTGAATTATTATAATTCATTGTAATCTATTGTAAGGTTAAATTTTGTAGTTTGGAAATATGAATTATAAATGAAATAAGCTGAAGATTGACAATAATCATAACATTTCATGATGATTTGATAAAGTAAATTTTCTGGCTATTTTATTGGATAAAGCAACCAAATATAAAATAAGCCACTTAATCTTTCATCCATAGGTTTTGTTCAGTGTACCTAAATTTTTTTTATGACCTGTGAAATTTAAGTGTTATTAAGTCAAAGTTTTGAGTTATAACTTACATACACTAAAGTTCCACATTTTTTAGTGTGCTGTACTTAAAAAATATTTTTCTGGTGAAAAACAGAACAGAATTTACCAGCTTATCATTTTTATGTGTGCGATTAAATAATGTACATTATAAGTGGTATTAAGTACATTCCTAGTTTTCTTCATTCATCACCACTATCTTCGAACTCTTTATCTTGTAAAACTCTATACCCTGTTAAGCAGTAACTCAATCTCCTCACATATCCCCCCAACTCATGGCTAACCACAACTCTACTGTCTGTCTCTATGATTTCAACTATTGTAAGTACCTTATATAAGTGGAATCATCATGTGGTACAGCAGGTCCTTTAATAACATCATTTCGTTCAACATCATTTTGTTTGTAACAATGATGGGGTGGAAGTCACTTCCCAGCCATGGCCACTGTCTGTGTGGAGTTTGCACACACACCCTGTGTCTACATAGATTTTCTCCAGGTATACTGGTTTCCTCCTATATCCCAGAGATTTGTACATTAGGTTACTTGATGTGTCTCAGTCTGAGTGTGTGTGCGCCCTGTAATGGAAGACTGTCTTCCCTGGGTGGGGAGGGGTTCCTACCAATTACCCTCAAACCTGAGCTGGAATAAGCAAGGAGATTGGAAAATGAAGGAATGAACATAAAGATTAATTAATATTAGAAGTGTCTTGCATCTTTATTTGGAACTTTCCCACAAAATTATGCTGTGGGAACCTAACTTTTATTTATATCAGTCTATGGTAAAGCTGATTTCCTTATCTATTGTTTGACTTAAAGTCACAATTTTCAAGAAACTTGACAGTGTTAAAGTGAGGATGTACTTTCTTTTTGTGATTGGCTTATTTTACTTAGCGTTTGTGCTCATTCATGTTGTAGCATACAGCAGGATTCCCTTTTTAAGACGGAATATTCCATTGAATATATGTACCACATTTTGCTTATCCATTTATCTGTTCATGGACACTTGGGTTCTTCCATGTTTTAGCTGTTGTAAATAATACTATGAACCTGGAGGTTGAAGAAGTATGTTTTCAAGACCATGTTTTTAATTATTTTGGGTATTTTGGATAGTACCATGCTAATGGTATGAGGCAGTATATCATTATAGTTTTGATTTGCAGTTCTCTAATGATTAGTGACCATTGAGCATTTTTTTAATGTGTTTATTGATCATTTTTAGTTCTTCTTTGGAAAAGTGTTCATTCAAGTTCTTTGCTTGCTTTGGAATCAGTTGACTTTGTTTTTTAAAAATGTATTTATAAATCCTTTATCACATATGATTTGCAAATATTTTCTTACCTTCTGTGGCTTGCTGTTTTTACTCTATTCATGGTGTCTTTTGGTCCACAAAAATTTTAAATTTAAATTAATTTTTAATTAAATTAAAAAGCTCAACTTGTCTTTTTTTTTAATTGCTTGTACTTTTGATGTCATAGCTAAGAAATCATTGCCGAAACCAATGCCCTATATTTTCTTTTACGAGTGTTTTTAGTTTCAAATCTTATATCTGATCCATTTAGAGTTAATTTTTTTTTTTAAGATTTATTTATTTATACAAGCACTGGGTACAGTCAGAAGCACGGGAGGGTGAGAGAATTCACCAGAGCCAGAGCAGGGAGCAGAACAGGCAGAAGGACCGAAGTACACTGCTGAGGGGAGCAGCGGGCGGCAGGAGAGGTCTACACGCCATGTGGGACCCTCACCTGGCAGCCAGGGATTGAACTGGTGCTGCAGAGGCTGCTGGCAGCTTCACAGCCCAGCGTGCAACCGCTGCGCCACCAGGGAGGCCCTAGAGTTAATTTTTGTACATGGTGATAGGTAAGGGTAAAAGTTGATACTTTTGCATGTGTATATCCAGTTTCCCCAAAACCGTTTGCTTAAAATTTAGTTCTTTCCCCATTGAATGGTCTTGACACCCTTGTCAAAATTCATTTGACCCTATGTACTTGTGTTTATTTCTGGGCTCAATTCTGTTCCATTGGTCTATATATATCTTTATGCCAGTAGCATACTGCCTTAATTGTTGTAACTTTGTAGTTAGTTTTGAAGTAAAAAAGTTTAGATTCTCCAGTTTCTTTTTTCTTTTTCAAGATTATTTTGACTATTTAGAGTCCCTTGAAATTCCATATGAATTTTAGGATGAGTCTTTTCAATTTCTGCAAATAAATGTCATTGGAAGGACAGTTTTTTATTAATATAGGACTCGGGCTGATTGTATTTTTTTCTTTCGCCATATATATGTGTGTATATGTATGGTATGACATATGTGGTATGATTACATATATATATATCTCAACCCACTGCTCTCTGCCCTTGAAAATTTCTGGTGAGAAATCTGATAAAATTTTATTGAGTATCCTTTATATACAGTGAATCACTTCTCTTGCTGCTTTTGAGATTCTCTTATCTTTGGCTTTCAAAAAGTTTGATTATAATGTGTCTCAGTGTGGGTCTCTGAGTTTATCTTAGATTTAATTGAGCTTCTTAGGTGTTTATATTCATGTCTTTCATCAAATTCATGAAAAATTTCAGACATTTTTCTTTGGATCTTGCTGCCCCTTTCTCTCTTTTGTGGGATTTTCTTTTTCTTTTTCTTTTTTAAGATACATTTATTGATGCATACAGGAGCTGGGGTGTAGGCCAGAGGTAGGGGTGTGTATGTGTGTGTGTGTGTGTGTGTGTGCGCGCGCGCGTGTGTGTGTGTGTGTGTGTGTGTGTGTGTGTGTGTGTGAGGATTCATCAGAGACAGGGTGGGGAGCAGAACAGGTGGACTTACTGAAATACACTGCTTATGGGAGCAGTGGGTGAGACAGGAGAGGTCTGCTGCACCATGTGGCTTACTCCCTGGCCTGGGATCAAACTTGTGCTGCAGTGGCTGCAGATAGTGCTGAGACTTAACCCCTTGCACCACCAGGGAGGCCCTCTCTGGGATTTTCACAATAACGAGTATCTTGATCCTTTTGATGTTGTCCCAGAGGTCCCTTTGGCTCTGTTTTCATAATCTTTCTTTCTTCCTGTTGCTTAGGCTCATTTTCCATAGTCCTGTTTTCAAGTTTGCTAATTTTCTCCTTTGTGTACTCATATCTGCCTTCTAGTGAAATTTTAATTTCAGTTATTCTGCATTTCAACTCTACCGTTTCTTTGTAAATTTTCTCTTTATCACTGTTTCCATTTTGACTGTACATTATTTTCTTGACTTTCTTCACATCTTCCTTTAATTCATTGAGTGTCTTTAAGATGGTTGTTTTACATCTGCTACCAGTCTTTTTCAGGAACAGTTTCTGTTGACTTTTTTCTTTGCTGAGCCATACTTTTCTGTTTCTTTTTCTGCCTTGTGATATTTTTGTTGAAAACTGGACATTTTAAAAAAATATTGAGTTCATTTTTGGCCTTTTGTTTTGCTTTTTAATTGTTACAGTTTGTCTCACTGCCAAGGCCTTAACTTTAAGGTCTTCTCAAGTCTTTTCTGAAATTATATCTTTCCCTGGGCAGAAATCATCTTGTGATATTTTTATTCACATATGCAGTTGCTTTTGAATGTCTTAGTCTTAGATGTTTGTACCCAAAAAAGAGAAAAATGAAGGAGATACAGAAAAAATTCATTGACCTTTTAAAGCCCCTGGCAGTAACTTCAGCTGGAGGGGTGGGACTTGCCACAGTGGAGGAAGTCAAGTGCAGTAATACTGCTCACTCTCTTTTTGTGTGTACCCTGATCCAAAGCAACAGTTAATGATCAAAGCACAGATCTCTAATAATTGGGAGGACAGTCTTCTCTTTGCCCACTCTCCATCTGTAAGCAGTGTGCTCGCTGCTTCAGGAGCATGTGCAAAGCTGCTGTCCATGAGTCTGGAGAAGAGATATGTGTAGCTGCTACTACTCTGAGAGCTGAAGTTGACCTCATTTAAATCTATCACCAAACCTTCCTCTTGAAGTTGTAGGTGTTTAACATTTTAGTTAGAATTCCAAAATGGCTAATTAGACAGATCCTACCAGTGCATTATTGTGTAGATGAGAAGATTCCTGCTCTACCATCTTTCTGGAATTCTCTCCTCTGATTTGTTATATCAACTATATTTTTTAAAAAAAAATATTTGAGATCTTTTTTAATATTGTGATAGGCTGGTGGTAGGGGTGGGAGATAATTTTATGTTCCAAACTAGAAATTTCTAAAAAGTTGTAACATTGACAAATCCAAATACAGTTTATCTTATTTCATAGACACTTTTAAGAATATAAATTTGTAGTTTAAAAAACATCAATCTAGGAGCCGCCTGGTGGCACAGGGGTTAAAGACATCACTGTGAAGCTGTCGCCATCCACTGAAGTATGTGTTCGATCCCCGGCCAGGGAGAAACCCACATGGCACAGCAGACCTCTTCTGTTTCGCCCGCTGCTCCCCTCAGCAGTGTATTTCAGTCTGCCTGTTCTGCTCCCCACTCTCTCTGGTGAATCCTCTCACCCCTCTCACCTTTGGCCTGTAACCCAGTACTTGTATACATAAATAAATAAATCTTTAAAAAAAATTAAAAAAACATCAATCTATGTGATATGTTTTCTTTTTCTTTTTTTTTTTAAGATTTTTTATACAAGCACTGGGTACAGTCAGAAGCGCGGGAGGGTGAGAGAATTCACCAGAGCCAGAGCAGGAAGCAGAACAGGCAGACTGATGAAGTACACTGCTGAGGGGAGCAGCGGGCGACAGGAGAGGTCTGCGTGCCATGTGGGACCCTCACCCGGCGGCCGGGGATCGAACCGGCGCTGCAGAGGCTGTGGACAGCATCGTAACCCAGCGCTCAACCACTGCGCCACCAGGGAGGCCCGTGATATGTTTTCTTAATGACAGTCTAATTCTTTTTGTTTTATAGACGATTGTGGCTATCAACAAAGACCCAGAAGCACCAATTTTCCAAGTGGCAGATTATGGAATAGTTGCAGATTTATTTAAGGTAAGCTGCCATGAGAGTGATGGCTGTTACCTAGAGTGTCATCCAAGAACCTCTTAGAGCTGGTGAGGGAAGAAGCTTTTATAGGAAAACCTTGTCTGTTTTTGTATCTGTCCATGTGTATATATTGATATATATTTGTATATATTAATATATGTATACAACTTTCTACTTGAAGTGAATTTGTCCTAATAAATACATAATATTTATATAGAGCATTGTAACTTTCCTCTTAAGGAGTCCATATTGTTTTTAAAATATCCACATGGCTCTTGGCTTCTGGTGCTGAGTTCATACACAGTGTAAAGTGACTCAAGTAATTATAACCTAGAATCATGTTTAGTAGATACCTGAAGAAATTTACATTAAATCCCCTCATTCAGAGATTTGCCAAACTATAGCTTTCCAGAGGAAGAGCAGGCACCCAAGTTCAACCTAACCTGACTCAGGTATGGTCTGATTGATACGTTTGAGAGTGAAAGCCCTTCTTAATCTAACAAGTGTAGAGAATACTTACTTCGCATTTGTCTTGCAATTCACTTTTATCAGTGTTCTTTCTACCCTATCATACCTCTCTATGACCCTCCCCATGAGAGAAGTGAGTTTAGTGATTTACTGATGAACACCTGGTATTTCCTCATGCATGACCTGACCTCTTGTTCCCAGCCCTGCGTATAAGATGCTAGGTTATCTTGTGCGGTAATCATGCGGGAATTGATGTTTTGAAATAGCATCCAATATGGCACATGGTTAAGGTTCAGAAAGTACTTAATTTCATTTTTAAATTAATACTTCTATCCATGTTTCATTGCTAATTAATATTCATTGTGTGATGAAGTGGGGTGGCAGGAATGGGAAATCTTCCCCAAAGAACCACAACAAGCAGCCGTGTACCTTGATGGAGAGACTGCAGTCTGCGACCAGAACCAGGGGATGATCCCCGCATAAAAGGATGGCCCATTGCCTTGGCTTCACCAGCATTGTATAAGATCCATATGAAATAATGCTAGCACTTTGAGAGGGCCTCTGTCTAGTCTTTAAAGTATATGTTCACATCCCTTTCACAGCTCAGTAATTACTCAGCAAAGAGCCAGACCGCATATAGAAACTTGAATGGGGCTGCTACCCTGGGTCAGCAAAGAGCATCCTCCTTTCCCCCTCCCCTCCTCCTGCCCTCCACTTTCCAGAGAGCCCATATCTTGCCCTAGGAAGCACACAACCCTTCTTTGATGATGAGAGGTCTTATATGTGAACTTTAGGGCTCAGATAGGTCAGCTGTTCCTGTTACCTGGCCCAGCTATGTAAGAACAAACAGTAATGGCCACTAAGACAACCCGGTGGGGGGGTGGGGTGGGGGGAGTTAGTTTGAGAAAAAGGAATTTTTTGTATCTTTGTATAAGCTAACACTGTTCAAGTAGCAATGAAACATGGATAGAAGTATTAATTTAAAAATGAAATTAAGTACTTTCTGAACCTTAACCATGTGCCATATTGGTAAGTCTGCAAACAGGCATCCATTGTAGTTGCTTTTTATTTTTTCTCAAGAATATTTTAATAAGTTTGTTGTAATTTTGTTTAAGGTATGATTTTTTGGTTGCTTGTATGCTGTGTACTAAAACTCACTTGTAGAACGCGCTTGATGAAAGGGTGAAATGTTAAACAATGAAGATTTGTGATGGTCCCACCAGACACTTGCAATGGGGCAGAGGCATTTGTGTAACAATTGTTGCTGAAATAATGTACCATGCACATTGTACCTCTTACCTGTGACAGCTCCCAGGCTTGTCTTGAAAGAGTACATTTGTCTGTATTTGGTGTGTCTCTGCTCAGAGATTGCTTGGTGAGAGTCCTAAAAGTAGAAGTGGGAAGATCCACAAAAAAATCATCCAGTCAAACTATTTTCGGTGTTGTAGGAGGCTCACATTTTTACTATAATGAGACTGTCTGGACTGAATCATGTTTATTTGCTTTTAGCTAGAATGAAAGTAGTGACTGCTCAGAAGTTCTGAAGCACAGCTATGTGTATTTTTGATTAATACAAAGGGAAAGGCGTTAATCAGGCCTTAAAAATGCAGTCAAAGAAAACTAGTTAAAGATTTTGAAAATATTAAAAATACTGCTTGATTTGCAGCCTCTTTGTTATTACATGAGTAACACAAGTGAGATGCATTTATTTTAAGTTGTCTGTGTCTCATATTTCCCAGTGTGGTTTGGGGAATTACCCACCAGTAATCCAGGCTCCTGACCATTCTTTTTCCCTTCTCTCTGCCTTTCCAGCTCTTCCACTGGAGCGCGGGGTTCATTCTGTAACTTAGATAAGCTGCAGTAAAAAAGACCACATCTTTGAGAAACTCTAGCGACCTAGACAATACTCAATCCAGTTGTTTTCTCAGTTCCAATAAAAATCTGTGTAACAGCTGAATGTTATAGTAATTATTTTTTGCTGTTGTTTGTTGGTATTATATTTATTTTTAACATTATCTTTTAAAAAATAGATTTGTGTTTTATATTCAAATGGCTTATTTGTATCTTTTTTATTGTAATTATAATTGACATAAGTTATATTAATTTCAGATGCACATCTGATTCAATATTTACATATATTGTGTATGTATTTGTGTATATTGCATATATTTATTTATATTGTGAAGTGATCACCACAGTAAGTTTAGTTAACATCCATTTCCTTGCATAGTTACACATTATCTTGCTTCTTATAAAGAGAACTTTGAAGATTAATTATCTTGGCAACTGTCAAATGTGTAATAGTATTAATCCACATGTAGGTGAGATTTCTTTCTCCATCTAACTTATTTCACCTAGCTTAATCCTCTCAAGGTCCACCCATGTTTTCACAAATGGCCTTTTTTTTTTTTTTTTACAGTTGAGTAGTGTAGTATTCCATTGTCTGTGTATCCCACATTTTTATCCATTTATCGATCAGTGGCCACTTGTGATGGATATCCTTGCTCTTGTGAATAGTTGTAATCACAGGGGTGACTATATCTTTTTGAATTAGTGTTTCCATAGTCTTTGGGTAAATATCTGGAAGTAGGATTCCTGAATGATATGATAGTTCTATTTTTAATCTTTTGGGGAACCTCCATTGTTTTCCATATTGGCTTTTTACATTCCCACCAACAGTTGACAAGAGTTCATTTTTCTCGGTATCCTCACCAACACTTACTATTTTTTAATTTTTTTGGTAATAACCATTACAATTGGTGTGAGCTTAAATCTCATGGCTGTGATTTCCTCAATGCAAGGCTGATTATTTTTTTATGTGTCTGTTGGCCATTAGTATGTCTTCTTTCTTGAAATGCCCATTTGGATCTTTTGCCCATTTTTTAGTTGAGTTATATGGAGTTTCTTTGCTTTTGAGTTGTATGAGTTGTTTATTATGGTTTGCAGAGATCTTCTCCAATTCACCTTTTTTTTTTTTTTTAATTTTTATAGAGGCATGTTTATTTATTTGTTTGTTTTGTTTACACATGCACTGGGTGCAGTCAGAAGCGCGGGAGGGTGAGAGAATTCACCAGAGCCAGAGCGGGGAGCAGAACAGGCAGAAGGACCAAAGTACACTGCTGAGGGGAGCAGCGGGCGGCAGGAGAGGTCTGCGCGCCATGTGGGACCCTCCTCCGGTGGCCGGGGAGCAGCTGGGGATCGAACCGGCGCCGTAGAGGCCGCGGGCAGGTTCGCAACCCAGCGCTCAACCGCTGCGCCACCGGGGAGGCCCTCACCTTTTTGTTTTGATGAGGTTTCTTTTGCTGCTCAGGAACTTTTTAGTTTATTAGGGACCCATTTGTTTAAGTTCTTCTGTTTTTCTTGCTATTGGAGATGAATCCACAAAAGACATCACTGAGACTTAAAGTCAAAGAGCTTATCTATGCTTTCTTCTGTTAGACTATGGTTTCAGATTCTATATTCAAATGTTTCATTCATTTTGAATTAATTTTAGTATATATGGCTCCTCAGTTTTCCCAGCACCATTTACTGATCCATTGTATGTTCTTGGCTCCTTTGTCATACACTCACTATTGATGTATGTGTGAGGGTTTACTTCTGAGCTCTTTATTATATTCCTTATTTTGGTGTGCTTTTAAAAATTTTAATACTATGTTGTTTTGATTGCTCTAGGTTTGTAGTATAATTTGAGGCCAGGGAGCATGATACTTCCATTTTTGTTTCTCTCAGGATTATTTTGGCTGCCTTTTCATTTTCTTGTCTAATTGCCCTGGCTAGAACCTCCAGTACTATGTGAATGGGCATCCTTGTTTGCTATCTTTTAAAGGAAGACTTTTCAGCTTTCAGTCAACTTTTAATCAGTGAATAAAAGTACATAAATAAAAGTATATTCCCTCCATGCCAGCTTATTGAAGTTTTTATCATAAATGGATGTTGAATTTTGTCAAACACATTTTCTGCACCTTGTTGAAATAATACGTGGCTTTTATCCTTCATTTTCTCAATCATTGGTTGATTTATGGATTTTGCACCCATCATCTTTGCATACCTGGAATAAAGAATTCCACTTATAATGGTACATGATACATTAATGTATTGTTAAGTTTTATTTCCTAGTATTTTGTTAATAATTTTTGCATTTACCGTTCATCGGGGCTATTGACCTGTAATTTTTTTTTTCTTGTGGCATCTTTATCTGGTTTTGGTATCAGGATAATGCTGGCTTCGTAAGATGAGTTTGGAATTGTTCCCTCTTCTGTTTTTGTTTTGTTTTTTGGGGGGGGAGAATTTGAGAAAGACTGTTGTACATTTTTTAAATGTTTGGTAGAATTCACCAGTGCAGCCATCTGGTCCTGGACTTTCGTTTGTCAGAGGTTTCTGATTATTGATTCTGTCTCCTTATCACTAATCAGTCTGTTCAAATTTTTTTCTTCTTTCTAAAAAAATTACTTATTTATTTATGTTTTTCCTTGACTCAGTCTTTCTAGGTTGTATGTCTCTATGTTGATAGGTTGTTGTCCAATTCGTTGACATACAAT